TATTTAAATTTAATATTGTGCTCTGTTACTGGCACTAAACTTTTATTAACTTGATCATAAGTATTATTTGAGTTTTGAAAAACTGAATTAGCTGGAATGGAATAAGTTAGGTTATAGCTTTCAACAAAGTTATTGTTTGCATAACATGATTTTACGATCAAGTATAGCACTATCGCAGCGGCCATAGTGGCCCTAGAGCTGGTGACGGTCCTTGTTAGTTTAAACATGTTGTTATTTTTTATTCATATAGTGAAGATTACTGATGTGCAAACATACTCTCAACACCAAACTTAACATCTGTTAAGTGCGTCGTAAAATCAAGAAGAAAAACAATAGTCATAAATCGCTGCTTGTTTGCAAATGATTGTGCTTTTGGCCGAGCTACAGGTTGTGTATTTAGGTTAAAAAGAAAACACGCGCTGATTAGTTTACTGCATGTTATTTATAAAAATAATGCAGTAGTAGAAATAAACATAATTGGGACAGTTTGCTAGAAAAGGTGAGACTTTTCTAGAACTAAAATAAAAAAGCATGTTTGATAACAGTAAGTGTACGGCAACTTTATGAAACTTTTTCTTTAGTAATATAGTTTTTCGAAAATAGTTTTTGCATAAATTTGGCGTCACATTGTGACAAAACTAAGAACTTTTATTTGTAAAACTCAAAACTGTGTTTTAGTTTGTATTTTTGCTAGTTTACATAGATAAAATGTCATTTTAACTTATTGTACTGAAAGTAATGATTGTATGATAAAATTTCTTTTATTTAACTCTTTAACTCTAGCCAGGAATAACTGTTTTTGGCAAAAAACAATAAAATGTGTAATTAATCTAATTAAAATAAGTGTAAAAGGATTTTCAACATATTAAACAATTGGCAACGAAACAAGTTTTAAAATTTATTTTGATAAATATTATTTTAATTGAAATTGTTTATTTGTGCATTGTTATGCTAAATTTCATTTTGTTCTGTCACAGGTGTTTGATTTTCGAGCAATGGTTGCAGATGAGGTTCTGGCTGTTGATGAAACTGTGGCGGCTGAGGACAAGGTTGATTTTCAACCTGAAAAACTTGGCGTATTTTTAAAAAATTGTAAGTTACTACTGCAGCAATAAAAAAAGTAGAAATTGCAGTAAGTAAATACGACCATATTTTTTCTGCTTCCATCTGTTTTATTTTATCTTGTAGTAGATGTACTTCGTTGACAAGTTCTTGAAACGTATTAGTGTTAAAATTCTTTTTGCTTATTTTGTTTTCTAGCAATTGCTCCATAAAGGGAGAACCTTGGCAATTGCCATGATTGTCAAGCACGAAGTTAGGTTTACACCGACAAACTCTGTTACGACAGAAAGCGTTTGGCGAAGAGCAGTTTGATTGCAACATGGCCGAGTTGAACTGATCCAGTGAGCAAACTTCATTGACCAGACATTTTGGTGGCTGTTCATTGACCCCATAACCATCATAATCATCATCACCTTCATTTTTACCAGAAGTTTCACTGTAACCAGATTTGCACTGACAGACTTGTAGATCTTCGTTATCTATATCTTTCCACCCGCAGTAGGAGTTGGCTGTCAGAGTAGAACACTGATCATTTTCCAAACACACTACTCCAACTGAAATTAATTATTAAATATGAGTTAGTTAAAAATTTGTTTTTCAAAACAAAAAACATAATTACTTTTTGGGAAGCAGCCAGGTTTGCGGATGACAGGATAAAACCCGGCCAAACACTTGGTTATCGACTGCGGTTGCTGCTCATCACGTGACAGTTGTCGTAGTTGCTTGGCCAACTGCTTGTTTATCCAGCCAGACGCAACCGGTGACCAAAGTGCCAGAGAAACTATCAATAGCACTTTAGTGAAGAACATTTAGCAATTCCTTTTGTCTGAACTCATTCAAAAAATTAAAAAGCAAACACAAGGAAAGTGTAAACAATGTGACAAGAAAAAAAGAGTATAAATACTTTAGAAACACAAAAGAGAAAGAGGATCTTAAAAATGACTCATTAAGTTTTTTATCAGTAACATGGCAACAACGATATAGTAAACTGTTTAGCATCAAAACACTCTTTTTCAGTGCCAACACATTTGATTGTAGGCAATTAACACTTGAAAATCACGTTTTGATGACTAATTGCCGCTAACTTTATTCCAGGAACTCAACAACATTTGGTTCAACAACAAATAAATAAATAAATAAATAAAATGAATGAAAAAATATACAATAATAAGATAAAAACCTCTCAAGAAGGAGTTCTGAGTGTTTTGGGTGCATTGAAAAACACTGTAAAACATGTAATGACAGTTGAAGAGGGTAGACTTTGACGTTGCTGAAGTGCCGTTCATTTTCGAAATCATGATCTTCAGACGGGGTTCGGCTTTACCAAGCATCTTTCTGGGCAGAAACACCGCTGACAAAAGTACTTAAGTAGGATCAAACTGCCCAAAAAGGCTATGATGAATCCAAAACAAGCGAAAGGGACATGAATCCATCGGAGATTCAAACCATCTCTACACAGAAAATGCGTCGCCGCCGCCTGATAGAAGATTCCGGTGATGATCACTGCGACAATTATCAGAATGCAAAGGTGAAGAACCTCAGAGTTATGCTGCTTCATCTTCAGTAACTGAAACGCAAGTTGACTGTGTGTGCTGATGTTGTGGTCAATGTTGAAGCAAAGGAGAGGAGGAAGAGGAATGAAGCAGAGTGTGTGTAGAACGGCAGAACCGAATGAAAAGTGCTGTTGACAAACTGAAAAGCTTCGGCTGCTGTTGCTGAGCTTTGTACTTGAAAACAACAACAAACTAGGTTAGTGAAGTGAACATTGCAAAACAGACACTAAAAAAGAAACTCAAGTTCAAGAAGTGTTGGTGGCGGTGGCGGTGGTGTTAGTGGCAGTTGGCTCCAAGGAGACTTGATGAGTCCCATCAGGGACAAAGATAAGCGGCTGAAGCATGAGTCGGCGGCGAGGATGGCTCAAGCCACAAGCCATGATCTTGCAGGTGAGTGCCCAGGCGCAGATTAGAAGAGGAAGGCCGCAGCAGACTACATACAATCCGTAGGTGAGCAGGAAGATGTAGGCGTTCACTAGTGTCTTCTTCTGCTGCTCACGCTTCAGCAGATCCTCTCTGGTGCTCTTCAAAGTCGACTCGACAAGGTCATTGAACTGTGGCGGATTCTTTGGCTGCTCCTGCTCTGGTTCGCCTATTGCCGGCCACTCTTGGACAGATAGGTAATCACCACCTACTGATCGAGGCAACACTTTTCCTGAAGCAGGGCAGACAGTCCGCAGAAAAATGAGAGCAGTAGTGGTCAGCGTAATAAAAAGTGGAAAGAAGGTCAACAGTGATTTCATCATCATCGGAAACAGTGTTTTGTGCAGCAAAATGAGAAAGAAATAGATTAGCTGAAAAGGTTTTTGAGGCAAAAATTAAAAATTGACTGAAATAACTGAAACTGTTTTTGTTTTTATACGACTCAAAAGTTCCAACTCAACACAAACAGCAGACAACAGCAGGTAAACAATCAACAATTTACATCTTCTTGAACTAATCGCCGTTTTCATCTTCACATTTCAGGCCGGTCACAAACAAATCAATCAGTCCAATCGGGCAATCGTGCAATCAAAAGCATATAGCGGAATTTAATGATCAAAATGAAATGAAGAAAAATCAAAAGAGTGCGAGCGAGCTCAAAAAGGGAAATACAGTGTGCTTGCAATCATCACACACACAATAAAATTGTAGTTGTCAAAACTGAAACTGGTGATCAAGCTGGAGTGGCGGAAGCAGGTGCTGTAGGACTGGGGCCACCAAGTTCAGCACCTCCACTTGCACTTCCACTGCCACTGCCAGCATTACCACCTTTTCCCTGAAATCGAGGCGGCATCTGCGGCAGCAGCGGTCGAACTGGACGTCCACTTTTCTTCTTGCTAGCTGAAGAGGGACTTGTGGGCGTTGTCTTTGAGGTGCCACTGCTTCGACTGTTTGCAACACCTCCTCCTCNGGGTGGCGGAAGCAGGTGCTGTAGGACTGGGGCCACCAAGTTCAGCACCTCCACTTGCACTTCCACTGCCACTGCCAGCATTACCACCTTTTCCCTGAAATCGAGGCGGCATCTGCGGCAGCAGCGGTCGAACTGGACGTCCACTTTTCTTCTTGCTAGCTGAAGAGGGACTTGTGGGCGTTGTCTTTGAGGTGCCACTGCTTCGACTGTTTGCAACACCTCCTCCTCCACCTCCTCCGCCTACAGCTCCAGCACTGGTGATGAAGATGGCCGGTCGAATTTGATTGGTGCAGCAGGCAATGTAGGCGAGGTACCAGCAAAGGGCGATCATCGGGAACACGTAGCAGACGACGGCCACACTGGAGACGATCAGGTAGATGAGGGCAAACGTCTGCACCTCTTCCTGTTCCTTCTTTTTGGTGTGGTCATCGGGTGTTTTGATGGGCACATAAGTGGCGTTCTCCTGCAGATTGACCAGCTGATCAGGTGCAGGGCCCGGTTCGTGGAATACAGGCTGCTTGAAAGCCTGGTCCCTACGACCACCTTCAGCTAAAGAGAGCAGGGTGATCAGCAAAACAAAAAGGGAGAAAAAGAAAGTTGAGGGAAACTTTCTCTTCTTCATCAACTTCAACATCTTTAGTTCAGCGAACTGATGGCAACAGTGCACTAGTGTAGACAATGAATGAAAATCAAATGTGGCAGAACAATTCCGAACTCAAGCAATTCAGCAATCAAGTCTTAAAATGGTGACCAAAGCTTGGTAGCTGCTGCAGCTTTTATCCAAAAAACAAAAGTTCCAACATTGCACAACACAAAATCATCATTTTTTCAACAAAAACAAAAACAACGTTTATAAACTAAAAAGAAAAAAAATCAAACAATTCAAATATAAATGGGCATAGATAGGAAATGATGAAAATAATTATAATAATGACAGTTGGGTGATTGATAGTGATAGATAAAAGATAAAATATATGGAGACTAGAAAGAAACTAGAGGGCCACATCACACTGACAGTACTCGCCCTCCTGCCCGTCCTGGGGCTCTACCCTCAACCCTTGAAGCATCAGCCGACAGGTGGTCGCGTAGAAGCGCTTCTTCGCCTGGGCGGCCTTGTTTACCGAGGCGGAACTCCATAACCGTTCAGCAACTGCAGACGTTCTGGGCCTGAAAAAAATTGAAAATTACCAACAACAAAACCCTTAAACTCTTCCCAATCTTCTTACCAAGCCCTGCCAATGACATTCGCCCCGTTAATGTACTCTCCCCAGAGGCAGGCCTCCCCGCCGAGAACCAGCTTTTTTGCCTCCTCGGTGGCGTTGAAGGCCATTGGCTCCACCTCGTAGTACCTCGTCCAGTCGTGGCCATAGCTGATAATGTCGACGTACCAGGGACTGGAGAGAATGGCGTGGAAGCCTCGCCCGACCACCTTCTCCATCTCCGCCTTCCAACTGTCGCCGGCGTTGGCGCCCCACGGCAGCCAAACGTGCACCACGGTGTCCTCCTTTAGCGTGCCATTATTGTCAAAAACTTCCTGCCAGACGATGTAGCTCTTGTTGAGGCCGGCGACAATGTCCATCAGTTTTTGGATGTAGTAGGTCTCCAGGTGACCGTAGTCGGTGCCCATGCGATGAGCAGTCATGAACTGTTTGATTTCGGGATTTGAGGCCCAGCAGTCAAAGTTGACTTCATCGCCGCCCAAATGGAGGTACTGGTCAGGAAAACGTTGGGCAATCTCGGCAAAAAGCTTTTGCAGGAAAGGATAGACAGAGTCGTGCGTTGGGTTTATTGGGCCTAGAGAAATTAAAGATAAAATTAGCATTGTGCAAACAAAATTTAAACTTTAGTAATTCACCCCAAACGCCATTGGGTTTCCCGTCCTGGCCGTAGCACTCGGTGAGAATGTCCTTCTGGCTCTTTCCCCAAGAGAGGGTGTGACCGGGAGTGTCAAATTCGGAGAGCACTCGAATGCCTCGGTTTCTCGCCTCCTCCAGAACCTTTGTGACATCGGCCTCAGTGTAGACGTGACTAATCGGCTCAAAGGCGCCCTTCTTTGCCAGATCGGGATAACTTTTTGACTCAAAGGGAAAGCTCTGGTCATCGACAATGTGCCAGTGGAGAACGTTCATCTTGTTCATCTCCATAGCGTCCAGTGTGGCAATGATGGAGTCCATTGGCAGAAAATGCCGGGCACTGTCAATCAGCAGACCGCGGTGGCCGAAGCGGGGGAAGTCATCGACTTTCACAAAATTCAACGCCCACTCGCCTCTTCCGGTGTGGACCAGCAGCTGACTGATGGTTTCCAGGCCGCGGATTGCCCCCCAAACAGTTTGCCCGGTAATGGTTGCGCCGTGTTCATCGACGACAATCGAATACTTTTCCACCAGGCTGTCCATTTGCGGCCAACGGGGACAGTCGGCGGTGAGGGTCTTCAGCGTGACATTTTGCAGCAGGCCCTTGTTTTTCGGGTCAGCCGAGTGGTCGAGTCGGTGGGGAATGAAAAACTTTCCTTTAAAGGCGGGATTCAGTTTGCTGCAGTCCTCGACAAAGAGACGCGAGGTGGTGTAGCGCTTGATGGCGGTGGTGACTATGTCGCAACTCGATTCAGTGATGATGCGGAAGCTGTCAGAATGGACCAGGTGGTAGTCCTCCGTCATAGACATTGACTGCGGTGCTGGCCAGACGTTGTCATGGGTGGGCAGGCCAGTCTGAGGTAGAGGAAGAGAAGTGTAAGAAACGTAAGAGGAAAGTGGAGGTAAAGAGGATGAGGAAGTGGAGGTAGAAGCAGTTCTTTGGTTTAGGAAACTAACTGTGAAACAGACGGCGGACAACAGTAGCAGCAGCAACGGCGGAGTGGACGCCAGGGTGGCCTTCATTTTTGTTAACAAGTCGAAATTTGTTGCTGCTGTTATTGGAAAAGGAAATTGTGAAGGGAACGTGTGTGCGTGTGTGTTGCACCTAAACCTTGTCAACACACAACAGCAGCAGCAAAAAACCGTCTGCAGCGCTCAGCAAAAAATACTGCTTCTGTTGGTGTTCAGGTCTATTTGCAAAAAGCGAAAATGGCAGGCGCTGCTTTATATGTCAGCAGTAGGTTGGCAAAGTCAGCAGCAGCAGCAGACTGCAGTGCTTTGATGATTAGTGATAACAATTTGTGACCACAAGAAGTCTGACTGACAAGGGGCTGTCTTGATAACCACAACTGAAGTGTGTGCGTTACGTCACTGGTCGTTTGGTAGTTGTGTAATACATAAGAAGTTCAGGCAAACGAGTGATAAGCAATATCAGCAGCCGCAGCTGCCATTTCCCTAGCTGCCTAACAATCACACAAACATCATCGGCTTTTATATAGCTGAGATCAATTTTGTGCGACAATCATTTGACAATCATCTGACAATCTTGGTTGAGTCGTTGATGTGTGAGAGATATTGACTTTGGTCGGCCTTGCCAGGTACCGTTCAGCATTAGTAGTAATAATAATGATCCCTGAGCGGTATTTATCTAGGTAACCAGAGAAAAAGAGCGCCACGGCAACAAATGGTTTGGGTAAAGAAAGGGCAGGCACGTGCACTTTGAGCAAATCACACAACAACACGTTTTTTCTTTTTTCTTTCTTTCGTTGCCGTGATAAAGACTACTAGGGTAAAGGATGAGTACACAATTGACAGAAAGAATTTGATATTGATGCACAAAGAAAGGGGGATATCTGCTGGCAAACAGCTTATCAATGGATAAACAGCAAAAAAGTCTAACTGATCCACTGGCGATCCTACCTAGATTTGCCTTTTATATCACTGTTGCTGCTGATGCTGCTTCAGAAGGGGGCAGAAAAGTGTCACACTGCAGCAGCAGCAGCAGTAGTAGTAGTATCAACAACCAAAATCAACACAGAGAGCTGAGCCGAGTGACAATTAATAATAATGTAAAGACTGACAGAGATAGTCAAGTGATCCTATGATGGGAAATGAGAGGGCAGAGGAAAGCCAAAACCAAGCTGCAGTTTCATTATTTATCACTGGCCTGCATCGAGGTTTGTGGAGCAGCAGCACCAACAGCAGCCCTGGTCGAACATCTGGCTAGCTGGGCATTATTATTTTTGCTGTTTACTGCTGCTGTCAGTTTTTTTGCTTGTTGTTCAAGACAGACAAATCTAGGTTGGAGAAAGTGCAGTTTACAGACTGGTGACAAGTGTTTTGCGACCACCATCACCACCAGCACAAAAAACTAGACCTAGATTTGAATCTAGTGGCATAAATCATCATCATCATCATCAGCTGCAGTGAAAGTGAACCGTCTAGACAGTCTTTTTTGCTTTTTAATTCAGTCGACCAATTGAGTCTGAGTCCTTCTCCTTTTTGCTTGATTCATTAGTTGTCTTGTCTGGTTGTCGGTGGCGGTGGTCTCTGTCACATATACCAAACAAAAGCGACTATTCGGTTACTGGTGTGTGTGTGTGTGTGTCGCAAGGCTAAAAAACTTCTACATTGACTGACGCCTAATGATGATGTGTACTTTTTGCAGTGGTAATATTAACAATCAAACAAATGGCAGACAGTACAAGGTCATCGATTGGGCAGATTAGGCAGCCCTGATGATGATGATGACGAACTGTTGCTGTTGCTTCAACCGAAACAGCAGCAGCAACCAAAAAGGTGGTCAATGCTTTGACACTTTATTTTTGCCGTGCTATGTTAAAACCGCTGATAGATGAGGCGCTATAAATAGTACTAGATCATCTCAGGTGCATCATCTTACTTAATCTTCTTCTTTTCTAAATTAAAATTACCGTTTTACTGCATAAGTATAGCAAAATTAAGCAAAACTCTGCCAGATTTGCATATCACCGGTAGCCGTCACTGCAACTTGCGCTTGCAATTTTCATTTAGTGAGCGTTTTCATTCAGTCTGTGTAAGGAAGAAGGATAATAAAGAGAAAGAGAGAAAAAATTGCAAACTGGATTAAACGGTTGGAAAGTGTGACTGAGTGAGTGAAAAGGAGATAAGGAGAGCAATTCACTTTCTCACAGTTGAACGCAGCAGCAGCAGTCCAATTAAAACAAGCAAGGAAACACAAACAGAGGAAAGACAACAACAAACCGGTCAAATTAAGGCTAATCCGAATGCCTGAAACCGTAGAAACCGCAGAGGCCGGTATTTATAAGTGGATAATGATGTGAAAAGGGATGATGATGATGATGATGATGATGGAAGACGGTGAGAAGAAAGAAAGTGAGAGAGAATGTGTCCACAACAAGTTGAAGTCAGCGACTCAGGTGACCATTTCAGTGGTCAGTGATCTTCAGGACTGCAAAGATGAAGGCACAAAAACTGCTTTTGATGGAGATTGTTGCTGTGTTGGTGGTGATCACCATTGTCGGTAAGAACAGTGATGATTGAAAACTAAATTTTATTACAAATTTAATCTGTTTTTTCAGTTCTCCCATCGAGCACCGAGGCACTTCTTCCAGATCGAGGCGCCGGACCAAAGTGGTTTGACTTTCACCAGACGCTGAAGCAGGATGAAGAGGCGCGGAACCGCCAACACGTCTGGGACTGGCTCGACCGCCTGCACAGTGAACGAAACAGCAACAACAAAAGTAGTACTGTTAAAAGAGGCAGCAAAACGCCCAGCTTCTTTGGCTTTCGGGAATTCATGAGACAGCCGCCGCTGTTAGCGCCCTTTGTTAAACCGACAACTACGACTTCTACCACCACCACAACCTCCACAACAACAACAACAACCGAAACTCCACGTCTTTTAAGATTTGAAGTTAGAGAAGAGGAGAACAGCATCAACACGAGAAATCATCTGCGAACAAGAGAAACTCCAAAGGAGACGCGTCCATCTGACAGCAGCAGCTCAATGGAGGTCGACTACGCCGACAGTGTTGTCCTTGACGACGACTACTTTGATCAGATCAACAGCAGCAGCAGCAGCAGCTCAACCAGTTCTCCGCTGAAGTCAAGGTAGGCCAATTTAAAAACTCAAACTTCTAAAAACATCTTTTTCTCAATTTGTAGACAAAACTCCCTCTCCTCGATGCTGCGCTTCTCCTCAAACCGAATTGGCGAAAACGTACAACGTCAAACTCGAATGAGCCAGAGGAGGCAGGAAAACCTGTCCAAATTGTCATCCTCTAGAAAATCAAGTCCCTCAGTGCTGAACCTGCCGCCGGTGAGCACGGACTGGAGCTTCAGCTGTCCGCCGGGGCGTTCGGGCTGGTTTGCCGACGTGGCCAATGACTGTCGCGTCTACTACGTCTGCAGCTTTGGAGATGGCAAGAGCAATCGGTCTCGGGGTGAACGACAGCGCTTCAACTGTCCCAGTGGAACGAGATTCAATGAACAGTCGAAGGCCTGTGACTGGTGGGACAAGGTCGACTGTGGACCGCCGTCGACTGATGAAGAGAGTGGAAACTAAAAGTAAATTAAAAAATCTTTCCCTAAAATAAACAAAAACTCGCAATTTTGTGCCCGCTCAAAGAACGGTTTTAATTTTTGAATAAAAAATAGCAGATGCAAAAATAATGTTGCGCTGTTTGAGAAATCAAAAACAAATAAAATAAAACAAGTTTGAAAAACTTTGCAAAATTGGTGTGACAAAGTTGTTGTGGGTGATAGTGGGGTGCAAAAGCATTGCACACGCCCACGCTTTGAGGTAGATTGAGAGGGAAAAGATCTAAAAAAGATCATCTTTCTCTCTCTTCTCTTCCTCAAGCCTTACCACCGGCTCCAGAGGAGGAGGATGCATTACTCTTTTTGCCGCAGCAGACGCAGTAGACGATAATGCAGCCGCTCAGGCAGCAGCACAGACAGAGCGCCAGAATGATCAGCATCACCGTCCAGATGGTGGTGGTGGCCTTCAAGACGCAGATGGTGCCGTCCTTGCTCAGCTAAAGTGAATTTGTAGTCAAGAAAATGAGATCAAAATGGTAAAAAGATCATTTTTCTTTCCACTTACGTCATTGGTCTTCAGGTCGCAGACGCAGTGGCCGGCGGCGGTGTCGCAGACAAAGTTTTTGTCCTTGTAGAAGTTGACGTCGGCGCAGTTGTCGTCGGCCTTGCACGGGTGGGGGCTGCACTTGCTTTTGACCGAGTCCTCGCCGGCCTTGCACTTGCAGTAGCCGTCGTCGGCGCAGACGCTGCCGCTCACCAGGGTACAGTCGCGGGTGGCCTTGCAGGGCTGGTCGTCGGCGGCGAAGACGATGCTGCTGCTGATGGTGATGACTACGAAGATGGTCACCAGAAGGAGAAGTGGACCACTTGTGCCGGGACGAAGGTGGAATGAAGTCCACATTTGGGTTACAGCAAATTAATCAGCGAGTGGACACAAACAGATTAGAAGACTGCACACAGAGATGACGTGTCGTCAAAAGCAGAGGGTCTAAATCACCAGCTCTAGAAATGAACGGTATCAGCAAGAGCAGCTGCTGACTGACAGGCAAAAAGTTTAATGAGTTTTTTGCTGTTCTGGTAATGCCCTTATGTACGTGTGTAAACTCTACAGGGAAAGTTCTATAAGCAAAGTTCCAAAAGCTTACTTGAAATTAGTGTGATATGACACAGCATAAAAAGACATTTAAAATAAATATGCCAACTTGGAATTTTTTAGTTTGTCAAAGTTAGTTTTGGGTTTTACAAAAAAGCGTTTAAAGTAAAATACTTTTTGTAGATCTATTTTTCACCGGCTGCCAATTTGCTTGATTGAGTAGCTAGTAATCGGCATTTTTGCTAAGTGAAATGGTGTGAGCCACACTGGTTCAGAGGTCAGCAGTAGGTCAAAAGCAACTAATAATTGAAAATGTCAATTTCTGACAAACATTTATTGCACTTTTTTTCTTTCTCATTTTACTAAATTCTCAATTTTAAATGCAACTAACTAATAATTTTAAAAGTTAAAAGTTTATTTGGTGAACATTCTTTATCTGCTGTTTCCACAGCATGAGAAGAAAGACAGAATAGATGCCAAAAAACTGAAAATTTAAAACTGTTAAAAAAACTGATAACAAAATCTTTGTGTTTGTACCTCCACCGCCGTCTCATCAGTGGCCTCTCGAGCGGCGCCAATGGTGACAGCCACTTTGGGACCAAAACTCAATCCTAATTTTAGGTCATCGAGTTTCAGCTTTAGCCGGCTAATTCTCGTCGACCTTCCCCTGAGGTAGTATTGCAGAGGAACTAGCAGTGACCTTTGAGGGGCGTGCATTCGTTTTGGCAGCAGCAAGAGCGGGCCAATGGCCACTGCAATCATGACGGTCTGCACCACTAGCAAAACGTAATAGACGGCCCGCGTGATCCAAGCATTTTTGTCCAGAGCATCAAAAGTCCCCGGAAGCACCAGTTGCGAAAGAATATACAGATTTACTGGGAGATTGGTGAGGGCAAAGGCGGCCATCACCCGACTCAGCAGCTGGCGATTGCTGTTCATCAGCAGTCGGCTGAGGAGGTTGTGGTCGGCTAAAAAAGCTTTGACTGAAATCTTCCCTATCAGTTCCGCCCTGGTCAAGTACCGCTTTCCTTTGGCTTTGGCGGTGATTATGGCAGAAGTTAAACTGGACTGAAGATCACTGATGTGGCCGCCAAAAAGGACTAAAGCGAAGAGACTGAGGTTAGTGAAGAAGACTCCCAGTTGAAAAAGTCGCAGAGCGTAGTACTCAATTGTAGTGATCTCAAAGAGGAAGAACAGTTTGCTGTACCAGGGATAAACGGTTAGGAACTCCGTTTGAAGGAGGTTCCAGCTGATGAAAAATATTTGCATTGGAATTAAATAAAAAATAAAAAAATTTTATTTTTGAAAAAATTGTGACAAAACTCACCAATGATCAAATGAAGGCCAAAAGTGGCTCGATCGGCGACCAACATCATCAGCACCATTTTTCGCTTTAGCCAATTTGAAACGTTGGACAACAGCAAGTTGGGCAGCAGCTGGCGGCGGTAAAAAGCCCGTCGGTCGAGGTTTTCAAGTGTTTTAAAAACGCAAATTCTTGCAGTCAATTTGGCTACCAAATTGATCAGTCTGCTTTTAGCGTCCAAACCCAGCCAAAAAAGAATCCTCCATTTAGACAAATTGGTAGAAATTTGCCTCTCCCTTTTTTGAAAAATAGCAGCCCTTTTAGCGGGTTCCAGCAAACAGCCGAAATAGTGGTCCTGCTGGCCAATTACAGCCGACTCTAACAGGCGCCACATGTCACTACTGTTTCCATCACTTTCGGTCAGCTCCAACCGAGCCAGCGTCACCTCGCAGAAATGGAAAAAGAGACCGAAGAACCAGAGAAGGAGGATCATGAGAGCGTCAAACTGGTGGAGCAGCGCCAGCGAATAGTCCACCGAGAGGAAGGTCGCCCTGGTCTGCGGAGAGCTAACCAGCATAATGTAGCCGCCGTAAACTCCTCTGCTGTAGCCGTAGGCAAGGATGAAGAACTGTTCGATGTAAAATCGTTTCCAGAAACCTTTTGGGCGGTTGAGCAGCTCGGCGGTGTAGCTGTAGAAGCAGCGGCGGAATTTGGAAAAAATCATGGTGGGTTTTTTGGATGGGATTGTTTGCTGTTTGTTTGTAATTTGCTTGTATTTTGTATTTTGCAATTTAAACTGTCTAAACTACAATTGTGAAACTCTGGAAAAGTAAGGCTTCCAAACAGCACCTGCCGTCATTAGTTATTTACTCAAAAAGCGCAGTTGCAAGAATGGAGTGAGTTGTGCAAAACTTGCAAATAACTAGCCATTTATCATTTTTATTACTAGAGAAAAGTAAATAAAAAATCGTTTTTTTCTTTTTAAAATCCCCCAAATGTACTGTAATTTGAATCGGAACTATGCAAAAACTTTGTTTTACTCAATTTTTATTTTTAATGAGTTTTGAAAAAACTTCAAAGTAACTGATGGCACACCCATAGAGTTCACTTGCTGTTGTTTAATTTTTAATTTTAATTATTTTGGTAATTTTATTTACACAACTTGTCACATTGTTTTCAGTACTTTGTTTGCTTATGTGAGTGGAACCTAAACAATAACAATAATATTTACATGCAACAAAAAGAATGCAAGTGAACAGAAAACTGTTCACCTGCTTTTATTTTGGCCTTAAAATTGGCCAACCACTAGAAAGGGCCCAAAGAATTAGAGGCAGCAGCAGAGGGCGGTGATGCTGGCACAGCCGCAGCAGAAGACGGCAAAGGCGCAGACGGAGCAGCAGAGCAGGGCCACCACGGCGACCACGATGAGGACGATGGCCACAGTGGAGAGGGCGGCCGCCTCGATACATTCGGTGCCCTCGGCGTTCAGCTAGGAGCAAAAAATGGTCAAATTTGACAAGACACTTTATCAACAAAAAACCTAAAGCCTACCTGGAACTTCTTCGGATCACACTCACAGAGGTGAGTGGCGGGGCCGCAGATGAAGGTGACGTTGTTGGGGGCATCACCGCCACTGCAGTCAGCGTCGGCCTTGCAGGTCCAGGGAACGCACTCCCCCTCCTCACCCTTTTGTTCGCCCTTCTTCAGCAGATGGCCAACCAGCTTGCAGCGGCAGTGGCCGGCGATGCACTTCGATCCAGTCGTTTTGCAGGCGGCGTCATTCGTGCAGGAGGAAGAGGATGATAGTTCAGTCTGGTTAAGACCATCAGCAAAAGTGGCAAAAAGCAGTAAAGCCAGGGCAGCAGACGTCAGCAGAAGTGTGTTGTTGAGCTGCTGCATAGTAATGGCGGTGGTCAGCAAAAGGTTGGAAAAAAATGAAAACAGCTTTTCACAGTAAACAAAAAACACTAGACAATACTTTGCAAACTCTAAAATTGAGACGCTGATTTATAGCACAGATTTGCAACAAAAAAATGCTTCGAATTTTGAACTGAAAGGGAACTTTTCTGTGCATTAGTGTTGCTTTAATCGAATCATAAAAGCTAGTGAGGCGGTGGCGAGAAATTGCACACGCACATGCTTAGAAATGCAGTAAAAAAGAACCCCCTCCCCCTCTTCTGACTCCTCAAACCTTGAGCTCGGTTTTACCACCACCGACTGAGAAAACCTCCGGTAGAAGCAGGAGCACTACTAGCAACCGCTCCTGAGGGAACGGGAGCGGGAGCCGGAACGGGAGCCGGAGCAGGTGCTGGGACCGGAGCGGGTGCAGGAGCAGGGGCCGCAGCAGTAGAAGTGGCGGCTGGAACAAAAGCACCTCCAGCGACTTCTTTACCACTACTACCACTAACAACAGGGGCAGCGGGCACAGAAGGAGGAGGGGCAGCTGCAGGAGGAGGAAGAGGAGGAGGAGGAGGTGGAGGTGGTGGGCCTTTGACAGCACCATTGTCTCCACTTCCACCACTCTTCGAGCAGCAACACCACAGAGTGCTCAGACAGCTGCAACAGCTGAGAAGGGGACAGATGACACAGCAGAGGACCACCTTCACTAGCAGCAGTATGAGGAAGATGTTCAGCGTGGACATGGTCGACTGCTCCGAAGAGGAAGAGGGGAAAGAGGAGGAGGAGGTTGAAGAGAAGGAAGAAGAGTTGGTAGTGGTCGTCA